CATTGCCCTTTGTCTATTTTCTGTTGTCTCTCTGTCTTTATTTTGCTCTGATCTTTGTTAATTCTCCCCTTCTCCTAACTTTGGGCTACATTTGTTCTTCTTTTTCTAGTTCCTTGGTGTGTAAATTAGATTGTTTGAGATGTTTCTTGTATCTTAATGGAGTCATCTCTTACTATGAAATTTCCCTCTTAGAACTGCTTTGGCTGCATTCTGTAAGTTTTGATATATTTACATTTTCATTTTTCAAGGTATTTTTTTATTTATCTTCTGATTTCCTCTTTGACCCATTGGTTGTTCAATAACATGTTGTTTAATCTCCGCATACTTCTGAATTTTCCAGTTTTTTTTTGTAATTGATTTCTAGTTGTGGTCAGAAAAGATGCTTGATATGACTTTAATTTTCCTAAATTTGGTAAGACTTGTTTTGTGGCCTACCCTAGGATCTATTCTGGAGAAAATGTCCCATGTTTTCTTGAGGAGAATGTGTGTTCTGTTCTTTTTGGATGGAATGTTCTATATATATATCTGGTAAGTCCATCTGGTTTAATGTGTTGTCGCAGGCTACTGTGTCCTGATTAATTTTCTGTCTGGGTGATCTATCCATTGATGAAAGTGAGGTATTAGTCCTTTACTGTTACTATATTGCTATGTATTTCTCCCTTTAGATGTTAATATTTGCTTTATATCTCGAGGTGCTCCTAAATAGATGAGTGCATAAATACTTGCAAATATTATGTCCCCTTGTTGGATTGACCCCTTTATTATTTATAATGACCTTCTTTGTCTCTTGTTACCATCTTGACTTATATCAGAAACAACAGGCTTTATATACCCCACCTTCCCTGTGGTTTCCATTTTCACAGAATGTCTCTTTCTATCCCTTCACTTTCAGTCTGTGTGTGATCTTGTATCTGAAGTGAAGTTTTTGTAGGAAGCATAAAGATGGGTCTTGGTTTTTATCTATTCAGTGACTCTTTTTATTGGATAATATAGTGTCTTTTCATTCAAAGCATTTATTGATAGGTATGTACTTATTGCCATTTTGTTAATTCGTTCTGGTTGTTTAGTAATTCTTTTTCCCTTTCTTTCCTTGCTCTTTTCCTTTGTGATTTGATGGCTTTCTGTAGTGGTATGTTTAGATTACTTTATCTTTTGTGTGTCTATTGTTGTTTTCTGCTTTGTGAGTACCATGAAGCTTACATAAAACAACTTATGTTGTTAAGTCTATTTTAAGTTGATAATGACAAGTTTGCACACATTCTACCGCTTATTTTTTTACTCTCCTCCACCCATTTTATGTTTTTGATGTCACATTTTAAGGCTTTTTATCTTGTGTGTTCCTTAACCAATTATTGTTGTTGCAGTTTTTTATTCCTTTTGTTTTTTAACCTTTATTCTAGCTTTATAGGTGATTAATCCACTACTTTTACTAAATTATATTTACCTCTGCCAGTGAGATTTATACTTTCATGTGTTTTCTGCAACTGATTAGTGCCCTTTCTTTTCCCCTTAAGTAAGTCCCTTTAATCTTTCTTGTAAGTTTGGTTTAGAGTTGATGAACTCCTTTAACTTTTGTCTGGACAACTCTTATCTCCTCTTTAGGTCTAAACTGTAACTTTACTGGGTAGCGTAGTCTTGGTTAGATTTTTTTTCTTTCTTTCAGTACTTTGAATATATCATGCCATTTCATTCCCTTCTGGCCTGCAAAGTTTTTGCTGAAAATCTGACAGTCTTATAGGGTTTCACTTGTATGTAACAATTTTTTTTTGCTCTTACTGATTTTAAGATTTTCTCCTTGCCTTTAACTTTTGACACGTTAGTTATAATGTGTTTTGATGTGGGTCTCTTTGAATTCATCTTTTTTGGAACTCTGTGGGCTTCTTGGATCTGGATGTCTGTTTCCTTCCCCTGGTTAGGGAAGTTTTCAGACTTTATTTCAGTTCTTGAAATAAATTTTCTGCCTCTTTCTCTTTCTCCTCTGGGACCCTATGCTGCAAATGTCGATCAGCTTGTTGTTGTCTTACGAGTCCCTTAAGCTATCTTTACTCTTTCATTTTTTCCTTTTGCTGCTGTGATTGAATGAGGTCTTGTGCCCTGTCCTCAAGTTCACCTTGAGGTTCTTTTTTCTTCAACTATTCTCCTTTGCCATGATCTTCTCTAATTGTTTTCATCTAGTCTGCTGTTGAACCCATCTGCTGTACTTTTCGGTTCAGTTATTGTATTCTTCAGCTCTGTGACTTCTGTTTGGTACTGACTTACACTCTCTACCTCTTTTTGAAGTTCACACTATGTTCATTCTTTTCCTATGCTTGGTGAGCATAATTATGAATGTAAATTTTAACCTTAATAGGTAAGTCACTTATTTCCATTACATTAAGGTCTTATTTTGTCTTGTTCTTTCCTTTGCAATGTGTGTCTGTGTTCATTTTCCTTGACACTCTGTATTGGTTTTTATTTATTGGATAAAATAGCCACCTATCCCAGTTTTGGAGTGGCCTTGTGTAGGAAATGAATTTTATTGTCCAGTCCTGCCCCAGCTCGAACCTTTGTTATTGTCCAGGTAGCCTACTTCATCCTTAGTGGCTCCTAATAGTTGGCGCTGTGCCAAGACTTGTCATTATGCTACCTGGGGAAGAACCTCAGTCAGCACCTAGATTTGGGCTGTTTGGAAGCCAGGTTCTTGACAGCAACATTTAAAGTATGCAAATATACCTCTTTCAGGGGAAGACTGGGCAAAGGGCATATCTGCTGCCTCTGCACTGAATCCTGGGGTTATAGCCAGTTAAAAGCTGTTTCTTTGCGTGCCACCATTCTTTGGAAGCCCTGTTGGTCACCAGGGCTGGGCTGTCAAGCTAGTGCCCGCTGGAAAGAAGCCAGGAAAGCAGGGGTACCAGATGTGTATACGAGCTCTTTTCTTGGAAATACCAGTGAACTGGGGCTGGGTGGAAGGGGAGCGTGAAGTAGTGCCTGCTGGCCTACATGTGCAGTTACTAACAAGCCTCCCTTCAGGGCACAGCTACGATGACAAGCTAACGGTCCCCTCTTTCACAGAGAGACTGGCAGTGCTCTTCAGCCTGCTGTCTCTATGCTGTGTCTTGTGGGAGGAATAGCTGGCTACGAACTTCCTTCATTACAGTCTTACGGGACTCCTGAACGTAAATCCTGCTGGCCACCAGAGCCAGGCTGTCAAGGGTTGTCCTCTGGGCAGCAGCATCAAAACCTGGGGCATCAGACACGTGAGCAGGCTCCTGGGGAGATACCAGCGGCCTAAAGTGAGGCAAAAGGAGAGTGTGAAGATGGAGACTGGCCTTGCCCTGGAGGCTTCTGGAGAGGATTACAGGTGGCTCTTAGGTGTGTGTGTCAGAAGCCTGCCCCTCTGGCTGCAGCTAAGAAGATGAGCAATAGTCATCTCTAACAAACAGAAGGACTACGTTTCCTTCTCTCTGCTCTGCCCTTTGGTGGTAGGTGGTTGAGAACTGTTTCTCTGTTACGGTCCCATGGGACCTGCCTCCACTAGCCACCTCAGGCAGCCAAGGGGTGTTTCCTGGGTGGCAGCAGTAAAAGCCAGGGTGCTGGGCATTTGCATAAACTTCTTCCTGGGAATACTGATGACCTGGAGAGAGGCGGGGGGTGGGCACAGAGATGGTACTTACCAGCCTTGGTCTTTGGAGATTATTTCAGTGTACCCCTAGACGTTTGTTAAATTAGGGTTCTACCCCTCAGACTGAAGCTTTAAGACGAGCAAACAAGCTGCTTTCACAGAAAGACTGGGCACTTTTCAGCTGGCTGCCTCTGTACTGGTCCCTAGGGAGGGTGAGCCCATGGGAGCCTTTTAAGACGTGTTTGGCAGATTGCTGTAGTCTTGTGGGTCTTGTGGATCTAAGCTCCAGTGGCTTGTGAGGCTAGATGTATTGGGGGCATGTCTCTCAGGTGCTGGTCTTAAAAGTTGGGATGCTCACTTGGGCTCAAATCCTTTGATCCGTGAAGCCTGGGATTTTGAGCTCCCTCCCGATTGTAGGTTGCCACACCAGGGGCGGAGTTTATGGCAAGATTGTTTCAGCCTCTTCTGTTTTGATGTGGGTTGTCTCGTTTGCTTACCGTGTAGCAGTGATTCAGCTAGTTTTTGGGTTTCTTTTAGAGGAAATTGCTATATACAGTACTGCTGTGGTAGGCGGAACTCTAAGACGGCTCCCAGTGTCTCCACCTCCGTGTGCACACACCTTCTCAGTTATCCAAACACAGGTGTTGCTTTGAAGGGATTTTGCATATGTTTAATTAGATTAAAAAATCAAGTGATTTTAAGAAATAGAGGTATTCAGGGGCGCCTGGGTGGCTTAGTCGGCTAAGCGTCTGACTTTCGCTTAGGTCATGATCTCGCGGTTCGCGGGTTCGAGCCCCGCGTCGGGCTCTGTGCTGACTGCCAGCTCAGAGCCTGGAGCCTGTTTCAGTCTATGACTCCCTCTCTCTCTGACCCTCCCCTGCTCACGCTGTCTCTCTCTCTCTCCCCCCTAAGAAATAAATTTAAAAAAAAACATTAAAAAAAAAATAGAGGTATTCATTTGGTTTTGACCTAATCAGGTGATCCCTTAGAAGGGGCTGGGCTCCTTACAAGATCAAGGCGTTAGATGGATCTGGCCTGAGGGAGAGTCTGTTTGCTGGTTTTGAAAATGGGAGGCGACCACATGGCAAGGAGTGCAGGTCTCCTGTAGGAGTGGAGAGTGGCTCCTAGCTGACAGGTTACATGGAGACCTCTGTCCTACAGCTGTAAGGAAATTGTCACAACTACTTGAGTCTGGGAGAGCTTCAATGAGAATGCAATCCAGTGGATGTGTTGATCTAAGTTAGCCTTATAGGACTCTGAGCACAGAACCCAGCCCTTCTGTCCTATAGACCTGTGAGGTAATAAATGTTATTTTAAGCTTCTAAGTTTGTTCTAACATCTTACAGCAGCAATAGCAAATGACACCAATGGAATATTTTGCTTCACAAAATTACAACTATTATTTGTTAAATATTTATTGATGTTAAATCCACATTACACCAGCACAACAATCCAAAGTAGTATGATAGTACTTTTTTTTTTATAAATACAACATAAAAGGTGGCAAATAATGCTACTTAATCCCCAACCCAGCAAATTAGCAGTCACATTCAGAAAAATTTGGCAAGTAAGATATGACGTAAGTCATAATTCTACAATATAGATAGGTCCATGAAAGACTTTGTATGGTATCTTAAATTCCATATTAGCAACGCATATAAGCGTGGTCAAAGAAACTTGCACCACTCTGCAAAGAACATCTGCCACCCAGTGATCAAGCCTATGAATCATTTAAAACTTGGTTGGTTGGTGTTCTTACAAAGAAGTAGAAAGCTGTACATGTGAAGCAGTAATATGAAATATATGGGGTGGTACACAGATATAAAATTATTTTAAAAAATACTACGTACTGAATTAACTGAGCTAAGACAGTTCAACATTTTTATTATAAATAATGAAAGATATATGTTTTGCATAAGGAATACAGTGTTTTCTTTTCATCACAAAGTACCATTAAAAACCTCATGTCTTAAAATACCATAATATCCGGCCAAATTGCTTTTTCTCCTTTCTAAAATTTATTGGTTCCGACTTAAAGCCATCAAGTCTGGTCAGAATCCATTCAATCTAGCTGTTGCAAGGATCAATACGCATTCAAAAAGCAGTCTTTGCAGAGATGCCTTTACAAATTACCTGGAACGTAGCACCTTCTTAAGGCAAGGTTTCATGGCAGCATGGAAGTGAACTAATATTTTCCATTTACCATATCACGGTGCCGTTGGGAAAAAAATAGGTGATGGCACAAACCTGTTTTTGTCTCTCCCAAGAATCCATTTCCCTCGAGTAGACTAGCCCCCACAGACAGTTTCTCACTGATGCCAATCTTGCAGTCTCGGCCCATTTTCCACTTGCTCAACACATCTAACCTCTTCAGCGACTACACAGACGTCAGACACACTGAAACTTCCATAGCATATGTGCGCCAATCTCCCAGCTGACCCTAGACCCGACCCCCCCGACTTTTGAATGGCAGCGTTTTTCCACCTATACTTCAGATTAATGTTGAGGAAAACCAAAGAAAAGTCTGGCCTCCACCACTGTCTCCTGCCCCACCTACTTTTATCTCGATGAATAGAAGTGTGCCGGTAGCATTTTCCTTCTTTCTTCCTACTCCTTCCCAGCCCGTCTTTCCTCTGAATACTATATGCCTTGGCCATTTGGGTGAGTGGTATGTCTTCTGTGGAATGGACTGTACTATAGTTCTGCTTTATTCAGAATACTTTATATTATTTATATTTAAATTAGCCTTTTAATATGGTTTGTAAGTACGCTTCCTACCAAGGTAGCATGAAAAGAAAATACTACACATAAAGAAAAAGAAAAGTTAAGAACTAAGGTATCAACCTTGTTAGAAAAACTCTTGATATTAATAAGATTTAAGGCAAGTAATTTCTTCCTTATGATTTAACATAAAACAATTTGTAAAGACAAGGCATTTACTTGGATTTGTCATTTCCTCTTCCTTTTCATCCCCACATATTGCACTTGGTTCACTGTAGCTGTCTGAATACACTGCCCATTTAGAGTCCTTTCAGTATTACTTGTACAACTGCCTCGTGTTAAGCATTCCACACTATCATGCTATGTAGCACCTATAGCTAGTGTTTGAAGACACATCTGAGAATACAAATTCTGGTTACCTTTGAACAGTTGATTTCCATTAGCGTTTTGGCATTTCAGATCGCCTTCATCACAGAAATTCCAAAAGTTTTAAATTGGATGATGAATGTGAATTTTCTGTGCAATGTGTACATGTCTATTAGCATCACCTACTTAAACTCTAAGTTTGGTATATCAGGTAAGAAAAATATTATTTTGGTGGTTGTTTTTTACAGTCAAAGGTATGTTTTTGCCCTTTACGTAATGTGACAAAGGAATATGTTGGTCAAGGCAATGGCTGTTTCAGTGTCTCAGCTTTAATATGAATGTTGGATTACAGGTCCTCACTTTCCACCAGGCCAGTACTCAGTGTCAGGTGAGATGGGCTGGCCTCAGGTTGGAAGGCTGCTTTAATGTCCAGTCCCTGGTCCGAAAGCGCTGCATACCGACTGGCTGAGGGCCGTACTTTTTTTGGCTTGGTGCTCTGTGGCTGCTGGTGCCACTGGGCTACAATAAGAAAGGAAAAGTAAGATTAAAAAAAAAAAAAACAAGATGTAATTGGAAAGCCCTTAAATGTTTCAAGTAAATACTGTATGTCTTTATATGTGTACCAGGCTCCTGTTCTTTTTCATGGGAGAAAACCTAAAACTTAAGCACAGTTTTGCATCTTCCTCCTATAGGCAGGTTTACTGTCTATACAGGGTAGTGGGACTGTAACAGATACAGAGTAATTAGGTGTAGTTTGTTTTAGGAACTCCTTTGAAACAGTTGTGCAGATTCCTAATTCTCACCTCTCCCCCTCTTAAAAAAGTCTTTAAAGCTCAAAATGTATAAATGCCACAATAATTACAATAGTCAGGTATTCTGCTTGGACGTTTTAACACTAATCAATTGAAAAGAACAGTAGGGAAGGTTGCGGTCACTCAGCCTTGAAGAACCTCAAAAAGCTGCTTCCTATTCAAGAAGAGGTAAAGTTTGAAAATCCATTCTTAATTTTTTCTAGTGGTTTTCTTACGTCAATAGGTCACATAATGCTACTGGTCTAGTTTGTGAATTCAACAAACAATTTTCTTTAAATTCGGGATGCATGTACACAAATATTCATACACAAACACTCACAAACCTATTGCTAAGCTGCTTAATGTGTATTAAGGAGAAAAGCGCTAAGCCACAAGAAAGTATGCATTCCAGGGTCAATGGTACACACATGGAGAGTGCATGAAGACACTGTGATAGGATTACGATACAGGGAGAAATGTTAAGAGGCAGTCATTTGCAGAACACGGTAACAAGAAACTGAAAAACGTGGTTATGTCTTTGCCCACTGTTAACTCCTAAGGATGCTTGAGTAAGGAAGCCAACGACTGACTGGCCAAAGTCAGAGAAATAAACATGCATATCTGGCTAATAATGCAAAGTTCCTGAATGATACTTGGGTATTTGTTCTCCTGGTGTAGTTCACTATTAATGTTGAGAAACTATAAACAGAAAGAGAAAGAGCAATATGAAATTTTTGGCAAATAAAAAGCTATAGTTTATAAGCTTATATAAAAGCACTGTGATTTGCTGTCCCGATGTCAAATTTTTCATGACTTAACGAATAAATGCAATGAGAGGCGATGAAGTGGCACTCACTGTAAACGTCCAGCCTGGCAGTGCAGGACACAATCCCTGCTTCATTCTTGGCTGACACCGTATACCACCCAGCATCTTCCTTTGTGGCTCCCTGAATGAGCAGGCAGATGTAGCCATGATTATCCTGGTGCATGCTGGAGGAAAGGATAAAGTCATTAGCGTTCTAAATTTTTAAAGAGTGGCTTTGGACACGAAGCATCATTTTTAATTAGATCATTAGAAACAGAATTGTGCAAGTAGCGGATAATAGGGTCATACTTATTCTGGAAAGGCTGCTCGCCCCATTAAAGTTAATGGGAGAGAAGAGCAGACTTCAAGAGGCTGAATAAATGTGCACACTTAATTTCTAGTTGAGGATCTGCCTTTACAAAGCCCACTGAATAGAATAGTTTCTGTATCGCCACTAAAGCAAATGAATTCATCTTTTCTTCTAGATGCAACACTCAAAAATCACCATGAAATTTAGTTAGAATGTGCCTCATCACATACCATCAGAGCTTCCTTCCAAAAGCTTAATCATACATTAGGGGAAAGAGTGATTTTTGTCTTTATCATCAGTGGCATGACTCTTCCACAGATTTATGTGCTAGACAAAGGGCATCTTTTTATATATCCTTCGGACCTACTGAGCAGGTGCAGATTCAGTTAAGTCATTGTTCTCACCTCACTCGGTCAGTGCTGTGAGTGAGTGATTCATTTTCTTTCTTCCAAAATATCTGAGGCGGCGGCATGCCTGAAACACGGCACTCCAGTCGCACAGGGTACCCATCAGCAACTCCTGTGTTTTGCAGCTTCTCGAGAAACACAGGGGGTTTGTGTGCTTCTTTAGCTAAGGAAACATGAGATGAATGATGTATCAGTGATATACAAAAGTGGTACTATAAAGAAATTAAGAAGCTTTTAGAAATATCGCTTAAACAGATCTTTTATGGTATCATTCTTCACCTCAGGTGGGAAGATGCTAGTCCTCTCTCTTTTACCAAGAAAGGCTCCTATGCTTCATTCCACTCATTTATCTCTTCAATTAATTCAAGTCTGACAAGCCCACACAGTCCACTGGCCATCTGCTCCACAGAATGCCTGTCTGACAGGCTGCGTGACACTCCTAAGTCATTGCTAGCATCTGGGATGGCTTCACTACTAATTATGTCACCAAGCACTCGCAGCCTTTACTAACCACCGCCACCTAGTGACTCTGAGGAGAACAAGTCTTTCTAGGAATTTGATCCGCTCAGATTCCCTTCTTGCAATCTGGAAATGTCTGCTATGAAGATTTGTTAAGTCTTGGCTTAAGTGGGACATACCATAGGATTTAAAGGAGGGAAAAATGGGGTAGACATCTTTATCTAAATTTGGGAGCTTTAAATTGTTACATATAAACTAGGAATGTACATCCTCCAAGTTACAAATTCCAGTTTGTATTCTTTGAAGAAAGCTATAAAAAGGCAACTTTATTATTACTTTGAAGGAAAGAAGCCATAAAAGAGACAACTTTATGACTTAGTCTGAAAAAAAATCAGAACTATTTGTTAATAACACTCTGACTATTACCATCCAAAGGGAAATTGTTTTCTTAGTTGGGAGGTGGAAATAATTTCAGAAAATTTGAGGATGATGTTTTGAATAATGATGAATTTGAGGATGGATGTTTTTATCCACCACTCTCTCCTTTGGGGTGACAAATATATCAAAGCAAAACAGCTATGGGAGAAACAGGTGAAGAGAATAAAAATTCTACCTGAAAATTTCAAATGCCTAAGATTCTCTAAGATCTTGAATGATGTAGAGGATTATATATTTTTTGTATTTCATATGGTTTCCTACCCTAGGCTGTTTTGGGGAAAGTGGGAACAGATCTCACTCAACATTCTTTCTGGATCCCAGCTGGAAAAGAGCATACAAGGCATAAAACAAACTTTAATGTCAAAGCAACTCTCCAGTAAGAATAACATCCACCATTTGGGAGCACTGCTATGCATGGGACTGCTGATACAGAGCTTCGCATGATTTAATCCTAATAAAAATTCTTCGAGGCATTATGGTCCCTATTTTTCATATGGGGGAAGGGAGTAGCAGAGTTATATATGTGCCAAAGGCCATAGCTAGTAGAGGAGAGTGGGGGTTAGAACTGAGATCTGACGCCAAAGACATGACAGCTGTAATCACTGTGCACCACCTTTCTAATGCAAATGCTGACCGAGGCACACCAGGATGCTGGTGCCTCTCCAGCCTTCTAAAGGGCAGATATGACGCAAGGGAACATTAAACAGGAGAATGCTGAACGGTTTTGGTTGGAGGAGGGATGGTTAGAGGAATGGATGAAACTGGCCCTCGTTGTGTAGGAATATTTTACTTGATGTAAAATTTAAAAGCGTGGTTAACACATACCACAACAGCCTGGGTATTTATGACTTTTTTTGTGTGTGACAAATAATGTCCTGGTGCTTTAATTAGCATCATTATCCAGGATGTTAGCCACAACCTCCTGAGCTTTATTCTCATTGCTGTTCTATCTCTTGAAAGAGCTCAGTGGCTCATCATGTTGGGCAGAGCACTAGGACTCAACAGACTTAATTTATTAAATAGGACCCTGGGAGAATCACTTATACTCTCTCATTTCCACACCTGTAAAATGAGGAAAAAAATTTGCTCTAATTATCTCTTAGGGCTTTTGTGAGGACCAGGGGATACAATGTATACGAAGCACTTTGCAAACAGAAGTATGAGAAATAAACACTTTCTTTTTTAAAAGAGAACAGATAATAGATGCTCAACTCTTAAGGATATTATAAACGTTCCTTATCTAAGGGTAAAACTTTATATAACATTATGTGCTTTTACAAAGTTTATCTAATAGTATGTAATTCAGTAAAAAGCAAATCTGAATAGGACTATGACACTGGGGTAAATGATAATGTTTCAAATTTTTGAATTTTGAAGCCAGTACACATTACTTTAAAAACGGGGTAGAACTTTATGCATAAGCAAAATATTATATATAAGTTCGGTTCTGGAATCCATGATGCCGTTGCTCCTTCTCTGTGTAACACTGGAGGCCAACACACACATGAGAAAGAACGACCCAGCAAAGCTACTAAATTCCTCCTGTCTCTTGGCCAGGCTAATGGGAGAAAGGAAAGATAAATAATGGCTACACTGAAAAAATTAATGTTTCTGATTTGGTCACTCTCATGTCCTAACTGGCTATTCTGATGATAAAAATCTATTTTTTTTTCAGCAGTTTTATGTATTTTCCATACTGGTTAATAATGCAGGATCAATTTATATTTTTGCAACTGATACTCATTCTGAGAGAAAAAAGATTCACAGACTTGCTCACCAGCAACTACAAGCTCCAGGCTGAATGAGTTTTGTCCTGCTCGATTAGTGGCTGTACATGTATAGATGCCAGCATCCCGTGATGTGACTGGCTCGATGATCAGGGAGTGCACTCCGTTCTCACGCACAAGCATCTTGTGAGCGCTGTCGGGGCGTATAGGTTTTCCATCTAGTTGCCAGCTTAGATCTGGGGTTGGTAACCCACTGACCTAAACCAGAAAGGAACATATAAATTTCTCTAATACTGAAACAAAATGAAAACATTAATAGCTAGGAAGGCACCATAAATTCCTTCTTTGGCAGTAAGAGGATGGGTTTCGTGTCAGCTCATGTTACTCTTTTGTTTAAACCTTTCAATGGCTTCCTGAGTAATCATGGACTCAACTTCTAAACATCTCTTATATCGTCTACGTTACATCTCTTAGATCTTCTATGACTTATATCTCCTGGAGAAAAGTAAAATGGAGGATTTAAAAAAATTTGTTATCTTACCTCACCAGGGTTATGAAGATTACTGGGATGATGTCAGCACAGGGTGCTGAGCTCTTTGGAAGAAGGTGTCCAACCACAATAACAGTAACACACTCAGCTGGCTTTTATACACCATAAAGCTTACTATCAAAGGGCTGCCACAGCTATGGAGACATCAGTTAATGCATCCATCGGCACAAAGAGCTATTATTATTATTTTATAATCCTTGAAACTAAGTAACAAGAGCAATATGAAATTACCCAGAAAGCCATCTCAACAAATTAGCATCACAATGGAAACATAAAATCCTGAGACCATGACAGTTGTGTTGACCAGAGATCAGATAAAAGCACATTTAATTGCTAGTAACACATTGTGCTGTGAAGGGGTAGGGATGGTTGCCATCTGTCAGCTCTTTATAGTTTTGCCCTTGATTGTGAAAGGGAAGAAAAGCACCATTAAGGAAGGCTTTTTTTTTTTTTTTTTTAACCCCTAACCCAGGTTTACCAGTGGGAAATTGCATACAAAAAGATGTCATTTGGAGTGTAAAATAATTCTTTTGAAAAACCAGCTCTGCCAAGTTCCATTCTTGCTGCGTGATACTCATGAAACGTTTAAAATAGTACTTACAAGATACCCACCTCTGCATATATAGCAAAGTTTTCGAGAATTTCAGGGAAAAAGAAACTGAAATTACTGGCTAAAAAGATGAAAACATTCTGGAAACAAACAGCAGTAGTTAGCTTGGCTTCGGAGAGGAGAGGTCAGGCTCCTTGTTCTCCATCTGGGAGCCTGCTCTCCCTCAGCTCTCGGCATATACTGCTTTACTTGTGTGGCCATCACCTGAGGAGGGGGGGCGGAGTGCACACTCCTGGTCAGGCTCCAGGCCTTTCTCAAGGTTAGAAATAAGGTGGCACTGCTCATTGCTGCCTTGCTAGGTTAGATCCTGACTTGAGTACTTGCAACCCACTAATTAATGTGCAGCCATGCCAGTGCAGAGTTAATCACATTAAAAGTGAAGAGAAAATGCCTGGTTCTTCTACCCCTATTCTAATTCCAGCCTTTCTGGTTGTGTAAAGAAAGCCTGATTTCAGGAAGTTAAGGTCATTATAAGCAGGTCATACTTTGAACAGATGCATGCTCTCAGCTGATAGGGGGATCTGAGGCAGGAGCTGAGCAGATTTGTTACTAGAGGGGTTGGATTAGTTATTTTCCTTTAGCACTTAGTACCAATTCAAGGGTAGTCAGTGTCTAGGAATGCACCTAACGGGTTAAAAGCGGGGAGGGGAGTGCTTTTTGGGCACTAAATAAATCTGTTGCTTTAGTGACAGGCTTCATGATTTTTTTTCTTCTTAAAGCTTACGTATGCTGATTTTTTTTCTAAAAGAACAGATTTTTTTATACCTTTTTATTCATGAAGTACTAATCCCTTGGTATCATCTAATAAAATAAAATTTACCCTGTTAAATGTCATCTCCAGATAGTCTGTATGAATTATAGACCAAAACTAAAATATACATATAAATTCACAGATGCTGAAACTCAAGTTTTGTACTCATACTGTAAAAAGAATTATGTTGGCAAATAAAATACTTCTGTTAGGAGTGCTTTTTAAAACACATTTTTTTTTTTTAAATGTTTTTATTTTATTTCTAGGAGAGAGAGAGAGAGAGACAGCGTGAGCAGGGGAGGGTCAGAGAGAGAGGGAGTCACATACTCTGAAACAGGCTCCAGGCTCTGAGCGGGCAGTCAGCACAGAGCCCGACGCGGGGCTCGAACCCACGAACCGCGAGATCATGACCTAAGCGAAAGTCGGACGCTTAACCGACTAAGCCACCCAGGCGCCCATTAAAACACATTTCTATAAATCTAGATTTAATACTCAAGTACCTTACATTTGTGTTCTGCAATCCCAGAAAGAACCAGCAGAGGGAGCCCAAATAATTTTGAAAAATCCTTTTTGTATTTAAGAACTAAAACTTAAAGATCAATAAATAATGGGGCAAAAACCCAAAACAATCAAAATAAATTAAATATTTCCGGCCTTGAGTTCCTTTGAGAAATTCATGAAAGCCATATCACACACATAATTTTGTATGCAATTTCAGAACTCACACACCTAATGAAAGCTGCTACCCCAAGGACCCTGGGTTAAGAAGTCTTACTGTAAAAAGGGTGACAGAAGGATGTCACTCTAACCTTAGAAATGGGAGGAATAAAAGAGTAGATACATGACTACAAAATTTATATGAAAAAAGAGTGAAGATAGATAAATTATTAGGATATGTGACATTTACTACTTCAACAAAATGGTAAACTTAAAGGAAGAAACCTCCCAGTGACTTTGTATAGTATGCTACATAGAGTTCTTTTTTTGTTGTTGTTGTTTTTGGTTTTTGTTTTAAATTTATTTCTGAGAGAGAGAGAGAGAGAGAGAGAGAGACAGTGTGAGCAGAGGAGGGTCAGAGAGAGAGGGAGACACAGAATTTGAAGCAGGCTCCAGGCTCTGAGCTGGCAGTCAGCACAGAGCCAATGCGGGGCTCGAACTCATGAACCATGAGATCGTGACCTGAGCTGAAGTCGGACACTCAACCGACTGAGCCACCCAGGCGCCCCTAGAGTTCTAAATAAAGAACACATTTAATAAAAATTTAAAAGAATGACAAAACAATAGATCAACATCCAGTATATTTCATTTGTTCCCCCTGTAGGCTAGAAAACATTTTAAAGATATATACCTTACATAATTTCTCTAAAAGGAACTCAAGAGAAAATGGCAGTGAGGGTAGAAGGGAAGCAAGAGATTTGCCGGCAGTAACAAACTCTTACTTTACAATCCATTCTGCAAAGTTTTCCTTCTTGAACAGTTAGATCTCCAGGAGCCTGCAAGAAGTGAGGTCTGAAGAATCGCTCCTGAATTGGTTCATTTTCGTCTCCACTGTCTCTTGATCTAGAACGAGGCCTTAGCACAAGACAGATAATAAACAGAAAGATGAAAGGAAAGGAAGGAAACAAAGAGGGAGGGGGAGGAGAAGACAGAAGTTATTTTTAGGCTCTTAGTCATTTATTTTTTTTTAGTAATACATGGAGCAATAATATAATTTCTCTACCTAATTCTTACTCCTAAACTTTACACCCAAAGTCAAAATAACAAAACCTTGTTTCATTTGCAAGTTTATTAGAAATTTCATAGTCTGCTACTTTCCGATGTTAAATAACTGTTATCGTAATCCTTAAAGCTAATATGAATAATAAAGGGGGAAATGGGGAAAAAATGAAGTATTCTATATTGACCTGTTTTTTCCCTAAATACTTTTGAAAGCTGTATGAGAAGTAGCAACTGCTGCTCATTTATTGCCAAATCTTTTTCAATAGAAATTATAACTTCTCATTGTGATTTTAAATTTATAGGAAATTAAAATTTCTTACTGTTTTGTAAGAATTTCAGCTCTTTCTAGTCGAAATTCCTTCTCATATTAACCAGGAAAACAAATTATATATTTGTTAGCTTTAAAATAAACTTGTACAAATCTTCCAGATTTTGTGTACCTCTCTCGCTATTAAGTATGTTGCTGGAGGCACCTTAAAGAGCCAATACAATTGAAAGTAATTGCAGGGACGATGTAAGAAAGGAGCAAGACACTGAAAACAAATTCTGTCACTAATCACTAGAAGAGAAGTTTAAAAACATTTAAGCAGAAAAAGTAGGAGCAGAACAAATGAAAGAGCAGTATCATTAATGGGTCAGTAATTCCCAGCTTTTTAAATGTAGTTGCCTCTTCTGCAACTACAGGTCTAATTTATGAGCAAAATGCTTTCCTAGGAGACACTAGGACATGGACAATCTCAAATGTATCGAAGACACATGAGAAGCAGGAGAAAAAAATGCAAGGGACTAACTGTGTTGTGTTCACAGTCACAGATACAGGCATAGGTCCCTGTGACCAGTTACTGCCACAAACAAGTTCGAGTTGAACCCATGTGTGTTTAGGAGCCAGAACTGCCTTCCAAGTTGTCAAAGGACTCTGTGCATGTAACCACGAGGAGGTGTAGAAACAACACTTTTTGGTGCTTACTCAGTTTCTCCTGCTTACCTTCTGTGAGCCTAACTTGGTGTGCGTTCTCTTCACCGAAGGCGTTTGCATCTGTGGCCTGTGGTTTACTGTCCAGGCTATTTGAGCATGCTGTGTAAAATATCTAAACAGGAATCCAAGATGACAGGCTGGCTGACTTACCGTATGCTTTTTTTAAGTGAAAATATGTTCCTGGCAGTAAGACCCTTCCCTTGCCCCTGCCTGCTTCTACTCTGTCACCATCCTTGCACAGACGCGGGGTGTAGGACGAGAAAGCACACTCTATTGTTAGCAAGTATTTGTTGAGCATTTAAGATCGTACGCACCTTACCTACAAAACTGTCGTCTAAAATAAACTCTTTCGAACCTAGTGACCGAAAAGTGAACATTAGGAAACTAGCTGATTTTAAAAAATCTGGTGGCAATAATTTGTAATGGGCAGTCTAGACAGCTGTTGGTTGGAGGCATTTGGTTTTGAGTATCTGTGTACCATTTACTGGTATTCTCACCTTAATGTGCCTGCCATTTAAAGGTGTTGAGTCTTGATATCTTCATATATTAATTGGGACCTATTTAACAAATTAGTGATAGTATATCTAACTGACACTAGCAACTGTTTGGTCCTTTCCCCTTTCTAAATTGCAGAGAGGAATAATCAAGGAGCCATACAATGTATCATTTTAAGATTGTATTCACTTTCTTCTGTCTTGCAACTGTGTGCACTTTTGAGGTCACACCATGGTTCTAGTAGTGTTGACTTTATAAAAAGAACGGCAATGAAACAGTAGCAACATGTGAAATACCTTCTGACATGAGGATGGCCTGAGGGAGAGCGGGGGCTGCGACCTCTTTGGTTGACAGCCTGTACCATCAGCCTTCCTGTACAACTGATGCGGCCCTGTCAGAGACATCAGGAAAAGGAATGATTTGCAAGCAAAACAACCAACCTGCAAGCACCACCGTGTTTACTGTCCTTCTCTGTAAGACATTACTTCTTAACCAATAAATATACCGTATCAGGAATGACACCGATCCCTCTCAGAAATGTACTTTGCCTGAGTTGAACTCCTCAGTACACTCTATATTTAAGGAACTCGGTGACTAGGTCTGTCTTAGAACTATTAAAAAAGCTTTACCATTTTATCTAGAATGGTCTTTAAAATGACAATTCTTGACGAATTCATTGTAATCTGCTATGGTCTCTCAAACACACAATGTTGAATTGTGAACTGCAGCAGGGGAACGTTACTCTTTTGTGATAATTCCATTTTCATGGTCACATATCTATTGGTTGTAGTTAATTCTGAAATCAAACGAGACGATTTAAGTTTTCTAACAGATCTTTTTAGTAATATAATTTTTAAATGTAAGCAGAGTCTCTTCCAAAAACCATACATTAAAAAAGATGCCAGCATGATAAAATGAGCATTATGTGAGAATACACACAGGGATGACACAGAGAGTATAATGACTATAGGTCACCAGGTTCACATGAAATGAGCAAAATTGTGATTTAAAAACCAGAAGAAGTTAAATATCTAAAATATGTGGGGGGTCATATGTTATGGGCCTATCTAAGGAAAAGCCATCTTTTAGCTCTCAAATTTCCTCTCAAAGTTGCTGTCAAATTGAAAAATTGATAAGTTCTCCCCTAGGATAGACAACAGTAATACTTAGAGGACTGAGAGGACATGAATAAATCACCAAAGTTACTCTGGCTTTTTGGTTTAGCCCCTCCTTTTAATTTTTTCCCTATTAGTAGCAGAGTAGCAAAATAGGTGATTTTCTTCTCTTACATCCTAGGAGAATGTGAGCAGTTATACTTCTAAGTTTTGATGATGGGCGGTAGCGAAGGACAAGAGAGGAAAAAATGACAGACTATTAATGATTAGACTCAGTGATTTCTAGCTCAGAGTAGATGAGCCCCCCTCACGTGCACTTAAGAGTCGTAATGCACTGCTGAGTCTCACTTTCATTCCAAACTGCCAGCATTGGCAGGTAACAGAAGCAAAGGTGTGCTGTATGTTTAGAGGAACTGCTTTCTGAGTTCCACCTGACTGTGAACTGGGGGAGAGGGCACAGTGCTGGAGGGGACACACAGGAAGCCCACAGCAGGATTCAGCGAAGGGCAGGAATCCAGTCAGCAAGTCTCCCCGCAGACTGGACTTCTCTGGGCCTTGACCACTCCGAAAAGGCAAAGACACACAGTGCTGTAATACAGACAGTAAAACTGGGGGCTATCAAATAGAAAAGAGGTGGTCATAAAGGAACAAAACTGAAGAAGTCTTATCCCACTAGATCCGTAACTTCCTCTAGCATTCACAATATTTGCTACTGAGGTCATATTTCAGCACAGCCTTTCTTGAAAATATCCATGGAGACATAAAGTATAACATTGTTTATACTTTTTTTTAAAAGAAAGTATACTTACACTTTCTTTTTAAAAATTTTAAAAAATGTTTGTTTATTTATTTACTTAGAGAGAGAGAGAGAGAGAGAGAGAGAGAGCGCACAAGTAGGGGAGGGGCTGAGAGGGGGAGACACAGAACCCGAAGCAAGCTCTATGCTGTCAGTACAGAACCTGGCACAGGGCTTGAACCCATGAACGGTGAGATCATGACCTGAGCCGAAGTTGGATGCTTAACCGACTGAGCCACTCAGGTGCCCCGAGGGGGATTATTTCTAATTTAGATTTGTTATATCGGAAGTTCAGGTCAGTTCTCTCATGCTACTCTCTTGCCAAACCCTTGGGAGGCCCTGTAAGCCAGCCTGAAATCCGAAAATTAATTCCCTCTAACCCCTCCAAGTCTTAGGACTGCTACAGAAAATCTAGACGTGACTTGTTTAGACAACCCCCATTAAAATTACCCAATTGATGGGGCGCCTGGGTGGCTTAGTCGGTTAAGCGTCCGACTTTCGCTTAGGTCATGATCTCGCAGTTCCTGGGTTCGAGCCCCGCTCGGGCTCTGTGCTGACTGCCAGCTCAGAGCCTGGAGCCAATTTCAGAGTCTGTGTCTCCCTCTCTCTCTGACCCTCCCCTGCTCACGCTGTCTGTCTCTCTCTCTCTCTCTCCTAGAAATAAAAAAAAAATATTAAAAAAAAATAAAATTACCCAATTGATGCATCGCAGTAGCTGATTTAACAAGTGAACATGTAAGATTCATGGTTCTTCTGGGGGCCCAAACAAGGAATTCTATATTTTGTTTTATACACAGCTTCAAAATTGTAGTGGTATGTGATACGACTTCCTTAGTATTTGCTTCACTACTTAAGCAAATCATTTTCATCTGAATAGCTTAAAATAGATTTATATAATTTGTATATTTTCTTCTTTGTTGTATAAAAGCCAGAGGATCCACAAGGAAAGTTAACATTAAGTTATCATTTCTGTGGTTAGAAAAAGATGTCAGTTAAATTCAACCTTTAACCTTCAATTTGGGGAAGCAGATAAAAACATTTTCTTTGACCTGAATTTGAGTTTTGACTTTCCTAAGACTTTGAGCAAATCACCAAATTTGTTCAAGCCTGTTTCTTCTGTAAAAACCAGGGTACTATATTTGCCTCACATGGATGTTGTAAAGATTAAATGATATAACCTAAGATGATCTTCATCTTCCCAATATCAAATGTTACTTGATGTCATGTTATCATTATTAATCATTGCTGGTATTGTTTTGCTGTGAGTCTGAGATATTACATATGCAAAGACATTCATCAGGATGATTTTCAGGTGTCCCAACTGCTTGGCTGACTGCAGTAAATTTTTCCAAGAGGTTATACTTTGCCTGAGTATGCTTTTACCTCCTTTTTTGATTCCTTCAAATAACTCTTTCAATGACTGTCTTCCCTGCCCCTCAGTGCTCTTAAAGCTGGGATGAGCCTTAGACACCTTTGTATGATACTCCTTAGCTCTGGAGTCAGTCTAGGTTTGTAAACCAGTTCTGTCCCTTATAATTGAGTGACTTTAGGCAGGTAATTTAACCTCCTAAATGAGTTTCCTTATCTATAAAGTAGGACCATATAGTTAAATCGATCTTGCAGGGGTTCTTATGAAGATTAAATGAGTTAATAGGTGTAATGTACTTAGTATTATGTTTTGCACATAGTAAACACTCAAAATGTTAAATTATTATAGCAGGAATATGGTTATAATAACAACCAGATGGACATAAAGCATCCCTTAGAATTGTTTTAAAAATAATTTAAAAAATGTTTTTCATATGCAACAGGTTTTCCTTCTTATTTATTTCTCCCTCTCCCTCTGTCTTTCAGTATTAGGATATAATTTACTCCAAAGGAAAAACTTATGCTATTGTTTGAAAGGTGCCAAGCACACTGGTATAGTGTATTTATCTAATGGCTGCATTTGAGGTATGAGATAAAAGTTGTCCTACTCAACTCCAGCCATTAGACTCTGTGTAGGATAAATCTTCCTCTTCTTCTGTCTCCAAAAAATAACGTCAATAGGTTGGCATACTGCTTTGTAAAGATTACACATTTCTACAGTGTTTTCAAGATTTCTACCCTCCTGCTTAGAACCGCAGACACAAATATTGCCACAGAATATCTTAACTACCCAAATTTAAGACAAAGGAATATGTCACCATATGTCACCTTTTTAACTCCTATACCATCTTTCACTTCTGAACATAAACAGGGAAGTCATAACTTTCAGGAGGCAGAATTGTTAGTCTGATAATACAGTATTACTGGCTAAATATATATTACTAATCTGTAAATGACCAGGAGCATTTAGAAGCACCCAGGAGCGCCTTGGTGGCTCAGTTGATGAAGCGTCCAACTTCATTCAGCTCAGGTCATTATCTCACAGTTAGTGAGTTCGAGCCCCACATTGGGATCTGTGCCCACAGCTCAGAGCCTTCTTTGGATTCTTTGTCTCTCTCTCTATGCCCCTCCTCCACTCTCTGTCTCTCTCTCTCTAAAATAAACATTAAAAAAAATTAGAAATCATCCAAACTCATAAGCTGTATAATTTTGATATTTTTATTTGGAAAAAAAATCCCAGAATTCACTGTAACACTTTTGAAAGGATGCCTCCAGTGTATGCAAGTGAAAGTTCAGATTTTTAAGTCTGACCGTCTTATTTATGAAGGTCGTACAAAATTTTAATCATATTAATGTGCCAATGAACCCTAGTAATCCTTGTGACTGCTAGGCTCTGATACACATTAATGCTGCTGCATTTGCTTTTAACTTTCTCATTTCTATCTACTTTATTATTAACACATGAAGGAATAATGGAAGTGAATGTTTAAAGCTTGAAAAGAGCCAGGAAACCTTATAATGCTAAAACAAAAACACAAGCAAACCAACTTCTTAAATTTAATTCAGCTGTGTGTTACTTTTCTATTCCAAACAAATCCAGAGTTTAAAGCTATAGAACAAGTAATAAGCTTGAATTCTTAAAGTGATTATGTATTAAACATTCAGCTTGTAAAGATTATTCATGCCTCATGCAAAGCCAATTATTTGTGTAATATGGAAATAACATTTATATTTCCTAGCTTATGAAATTTAATTGTGGCACACAGGTCTTTATAAAAGCTTGCCATTTTGTATACATAATGCAACTTGAGGAAACATCAAATTGCAAAACAGCCCTTCCAAACTCCAAGCGCAACACAGCGTAACTTAGCAACACAACAAAAAGTAAAACATTCATGTTTAGATTTAGTTGCTTCTTCAAGATAGGATTAGAGTCTAAAACCGTGTTTGCGATCCTCATTTTGGCATTATGTTTGGTGGAGCGCCGCACAATCACTCATTGTTTCACTAAACTATGTGACTGCTTTGGTCTCTCATGAATTGCCAGAGCCGGACACACTGAGCGCAGTATGTGCTTGGAGCTGTGGGTTCATCCCAAGTAGAATTTGGATGCAGTCAACAATATCTAACGTGCTTCTTATTCCCCAAAGATTAACACAGGTGGAAAAATATTCTATAAAATATTCTGCTGAACTTCAGTATTTCTCTTTTTCCTTGGTTCTCACCCTTTCTCCTGGCTGCTTTCTGCAATTATTTTCCACTGCTCAGGAAAGCCCTGCCGCCTGTGTTTCATTATTGAACTCATTTTTCCACGCCAGCCTTTTCCTCTTTCCCTTGGTCATTTCACATCATGTACACTACAGTGTACAGAAAAAAAAAAAAATAGAGTTGTCTCCCTTTCAAACCAAATGCTTTTAAACTGTGAAAAAAAGTTTAAGGTAACTAAAGGGCATCACAGAACTAGGGAATCAATTTAAGTTTTCTTTTGACTGTATGTTATGCTTTTGTGATTAATATATCCTGAAAAAGTCAGCTTTGACTCTGTGTTTTTCAGTGCCTTATTATCATGCTTCTTTTAAATCATGTTTTAATTCACAAATTAAAAGAATGGCAAAATACTTTAATATACAGTAAGTTATAAAGTAGAGATGAAATAAAATAGCGTTAAACATTTTTATTATGTTTATCAACAAATGATAATGGTCTGCTGTTTGTTGTGGTTTAAATATCTTCCTCCTTCTAATGAATGGTAGCGTTTGCTTGATAGCTACCATTTCTAGGTGATAGCTCATAAAACCTACATGTGGGATATTTGCACATACTTGCTCAATACTGAAGACGCCAGGAGAGAAAAGGAGTTTTACTCTTGAAATTAAAATCAACCAGGCGACATGCTGAGACTTGGAACAGTATTTAATACCAAGTACCATAAATATAAAAATTCTCTCACAGCAATTTCAATCTGAGGCCTGTGTGGCCACTTTTAGGATCTCCTCAGATTCTCTTTACAAGTTTCCCCTCCATGCCTGCCCCTGGTCCTTAGGTAGAAAGGGAGACTTAATTTAGCCTCACCCTCTTTAAATTAGAATACTGGGTGGATCAACTCACACTGAGAGGCAGTTGGAATTCTAGGTATCAGGAAGTGCTCTGGCTACTGTGGCCTCTGAGCTCTTTGAATGTTTTGCTACCTCTCACAGACCCAGAGCAGTCACATGACTGCTGAAATCACAGGTGAGATGGGACATTCTGTTAGAAGGGCTGGGCTTTTGGCTACAGGATGTAAACTGGTGCACTTCTCATTCCTTTGTCTCCTCTTCAAAGGGTAGAGGCCAAGATTGAGAGAGAGTTAACCTTGGGACTTACCCTGAGGCTCATTAAAGCAGCAGAATTCACTGGGGACTGGGATGAGGGCCCTGAGTGTGCTGGGAGCAGAGCCACTTCCCAGCTTCCTGTGTGGCTCCTGTCAGCTGTGCTGTGGGTGTGGCCCATCTCGGGCTCCCAGCTCCCTCCACCCAAGCCCACAGCTGTGGCAGTTGTGGCACAGTCACATCTGCTGCCTGACTCCGTTCCCATGGGGGTGGTTAAAAACGAGAAGCCAGGAGGTCAGAAGACCACACACCAGCAACATGTTGGGTAGAAATTCCATCCTGAACTGACTTGCCTACTTTCTAACAGTACTGTAGGGGAGTGTCAAGAAACAGAACTGATCCTTCACATCCTGATTCCACAGGCTTCTGCCAACTTCTAGGCCTGCTGCTTTAAGACAGGGTTATTAGTGTCTTTGCATTAAAATATTGACACTAACAAGCTTTTACTGAAAGCACCTTATGTGCCAGGTAAACCGAGTAGATTATTTAAATCCATATTATTATTCTTATTTCATAGAAGAGGAAATAGGCACAGAGAGGTTACGCCACTTGCTAAAGGTCACATAGATGGTGAGTGGCAGAGATAGAAATTCAACTCAGATCTGTCTGATGCCAGAGTTCACGCTTTTAATCCCTGAATGACACCATTTAGGCTTTTCAGTAGTGCCCACTCTATCCGACATTTCTAGTCTGTCTTTGTTGTGTCATTTCTTTCCCTTCTCCTCTTCTGTATTACAAAGGGGATCTTCAGCAGCCCTCCTTTGTCTAATGACTGCAAGAAATATCGAATGACTTCAACTAGTTTGTCAGTAGTTTAAATGCTCAGAGGCTGGCACGCAGTCTCCAGCTCTGCACCCTGCCATTGGCCATGAGCAGCGCGTCCTTCACAGCTCAGAACTCTTCCATATGTAAAACTAGGTTAGTATAATTTGAAGGAGACTAGAAACAGACTCATAATTGCAATTTTACATTTATGTTCTTTGTTCTAGGAAACCGCTGACTCCAATAACAGTTTAAAACATTCACTAGGAAAAATGCCTCAAAATTCACATCAGGACCAGCACTAGGGAGTGCTTAAGGAATACAGTTAATTTGATCTGCATAATATATCCCAGGCTTTCTAGGGGACAGAGGAATAAAGGACCCAGCATGAAGAAAAATTTTGGATTTTGTGGAGTTCTCTGCTATTATTTTAATTAAAGGCAGAAAATTGAGAATTGAAATTTGTTAATATTCAAGGAGACATACTGAAAATACAATAAGAAAAAAAAAAGCAAGTTCCACTTCTGTTCCCCTGTTCCCTCAAATCCTCCAAACATAAACACATGTAAGTATTAAAATGTAACTTTTAGTAAGAGTTGCGCTTTTGACTATGTTTCAAGGTGATGTATTCACTGATTGAAAAATCAGGACCTCGAGAAAGTGCATATTTACCATGGAAACTGTGACAGTGCAGTTTGCTGTGCTCCCTCACAACCTGACTTGTGGGGAATTCGAGTTCCCTTCTAATCTTAGTAGTACTGCACAAACAGATGTTTATGTGACAGTGCAATATTAGGACAAACATTGCACAAACTTTTAGAGGTCTGTAAGCTTTGCTGAAATTATTTGTATCATTTTCTACCATTTCATGTTTCCTTCTAAAGAAATAGTGAAATATGGGATGGTATAAATAGATCATTTAAAAAACATAACTGGACAATCTTCATTACTTCTATAATTAATTTCAGCTTCGTTTTTTTTTAAGTGACTTCTACTGACTTTGTAAAATTACCCTGTCACGCACTGAGTTCTTAAGATACAGAATCACTTCTTACTCACTTTTGCATCCTCTGTACCCAGCACAGAGGTGCTTAAGAGTGCCTTAAATATACATGATACTCAAAAAGGAATCTGCAGGCTTCAACTGGGGACTTGGTACCAGTAGCTGCCTGTTAAATTCTAAGCAGTCAGCTGTACAAGAGAAGACATTTGGATGGAAACAAATAATCCTGAATGCCATACATAGGTGCTATCAAAATTATAATTTGTCTACACTTATATACTACTTAAATTCCAGTGAATTAAGTCAGTGTATCTGTATTTCTTTTAAATATCTTACTTTTTTGAAGTTTTTTACTACAGCATATTTACATATGTCACTACCCCTTTCTCCTTTTTTTCCTTCATAGGATTTACTTCCATTAAAGTTATATAATTTTGTATTTGTTTACTGGCTTACTTTCTATCCCAGGACTTTGTTCTGTCCAGCACTGCAAACCCGTCACCTGCAGAAGTGTACCTATGAGGCCCCCAGTAACACTGGGGGGAAGAATGCATGTCTACACTGGAATTACTCATGTGAAAAACACCTGATGAAATAAATACTAACGAAACAAAGAATTTTTCTATCTTCTGAAATCAAGATGGATGTAAAATTTGGGAAAATGGTTACAAGTCAAAGAAATACGATTCCACTTTTTTAATTAAACAGTTCCTTTCTTCAAATAAATCCTGTAAGCACTATGCACAGAACTGAAGCCAGACTTATACCCTTAATCTTTACCTGAGGGTTTGCAGCCATAATTGTGTAATTGCCATCATCATCTAGGGTGGAGGCTGTGGTATGGAGAGAGCAGGTCCCGTCAAGATCTCTTTGAATGGTGTAGTGATCATTCTTTGGAGAGATCTGCTTTCCATCTTTAAACCAATAGATCTGTGAAAGGAAACAATGATTAAAGATTAAGGGTGTGTGTAGTACTCCTCTGGGGGACTGATAAGGAATAACTGTGTGGTCTACAGAGCTCATCTGAGTTTTCATGTTAAAATGTTAAACAGCACATCTGAACAGGAAATTGATTTTTGAGTGAAAAAAGTAGGTGAGAAACAGGTTTAATTCTATTTTAGTTTTTAAAAATGGTATATCTTTATATTTTAAGATATATGTATGTAAGTAGGTATTCACATATTATTCACATTTTTTTTTTTTTTTACATATTATTTGCCTGGAGGGGTCCAGATGGAACACTGACAGTAATTACATCTGGGGTGGCTTCACAGGCATTTCTCGTTTTTGCTTCTATTTTCACATGTACTGAATTAAAATGTATTACTTGTAAAGGTAAAAAGGTTATTTTATTTTTTAATTTTTTAATTTTTTAATGTTTATTTTGGGGGGGGAGAGAGAGAAAACACAAGAGAGAATGAGTGAGGAAGGGGCAGAGAGAGGGAGACATAGACTCTGAAGCAGGCTGCAGGATCTGAGCTGTCAGCACAGAGCCTGATGTGGGGCTCGATCTCACAGACCACAAGATCATGACCCGAGCCAAAGTCAGATGCTTAACTGACTGTGCCACCCAGGCGCCCCTAAAAAGGTTATTTTAGAGAATAGTAACAGACCCCAAACTCCATTCCACTGAATTGTGTTAGACAAAACAGCAGTGATGAGCGGGTTGGTGGAACAACAGTTCCGGGTTGGTGGAAGAGTAGGCAGAGAGGCCTACTGTTTTTCTGGGCCAAGGAGCATATGCTCAAAGTTGAACGTTTGTTGGTTTTCCCCACTATGTTAAGGAAAACACAGCAGTATTTAAACTTACAATAATTTTCAATAATATTTTTAACTTTGTTTGATAGAAAACTAAATGTGAAGAATAAAATAAAAATAAATCTGGACTAACCACATTTTAAAATGGTCCAACTATCTCTTCCATAGGTCCTCCTACCTTCCATCATCTTTAAATAAAATCATTGGTCGGCGGATCCCTCGTGATTTAGCCATTATTTTGGCCATGATGATGAATCACAGTGCCAGCAGCTCTACCATGGCTGAGATGCAGACCCAACACCTGCATCAGCCCACCTCCAGACTCTTGGTTAGGGAACTCAAGAAATCCCCCTCTTTAAAGCCACAAGTCCTTTGTTGTCATCTGCATTCCTTGCAACCTCAAGCTTTCCTAACTCACTCCTAACAGAAGAAACCTACTTTAGAGCTTCAGTTTTTAAAATGAGCTTCTTCCTTAATGTAAATCAGAATGCTAATTCAGACCACAACTGGCATTCACATTCAACTCTCTGTATCAAAGCCTCTGAATCTGAAAAATCTTTCCAAAGCTTACATTTCTAAGAAAGGTTGGGCTAGAAATATATAGCCCTAAATAAAGGCATGAGTAATGGGGATCTGGCTGCTGTAACTCTTCCAACGCCTATTTTTCAATTAGCTCTAAATTTACAGCCTGTATTGTTAATCTGCAGAACTAAAGATGAATCATCAAGTAGACTAATAACTCTCAGCCCTAAAAATTAAATTATATAAAGCATGCTAATTCATAATTATCATTCTCTGCTTGGTGGTTTTATTATTTCTGATGGAACCCAGAAGCTGTGATTAGAACAGTTTCTCCCTTTTGCATTCTGGTCACTCTGCCAGTTCTTCAGAATTGTTTCTTTCCTTTAATCCTACTCCACACCTCTGCTATACCTGGAATACAGCTTTCAAAAGAGAATTAAGAAATAGTCCAACAATTTTACCAAGACTGTGGATGGAGAAGGAAGGGGAGGATACATGAGACGAAATCAGGGTGACTTTGAAATGCCTCTCAACTTTCTCATGTCTCAGAACAAGCATATAAAAAGCAGGTTAATTTTTCTTAAAAACATAAGCTAAAAGAAAAGCATGTATGTTTTTAAACCCGCTGAATATTTCACACTTTGATAGGGAGGGAAAACAGAGAGCGGCAGTGAGGACAGGAGGAAGGAAAGGTGAGAGAAGAAAATCTAACAATAAAAAGTTTTTAAAAAATTAAGCCTTAAAGCTGTAAAACATTGCAATTCATACTAGAAACACAGAATTATGTTAAAAACAGCAGCCCATCTTTCAGGTGAACATGGTGTTTTTTAAAACAAGGATCAGTGATCTTAGAACTTAAGCAATGATCCTGAGCCTTGAGTAAGATTTAAAAATAACCAGGGATCTTTGTGAATATCTTGGAAGCTTAAGATACAATATCTTGTTGAATTTCATTCATAAGCTGCAAATTTATTTTTAGTATGTGCATTGGATATCATGTTTGTGAACACATAGCAATTATCCAAATTATGCCAAGAATAAAGAAATTTTCTCTAACAGTTTATTTTAAAAGTCACCTTTTAATAGGAGGCAGATACATACTTAGAAATTTAAGGCTATTTTCTTTGCTGTTTTTCTATGACACACTGTTAAGCTTTTAATTTTAGTGAGTGTATTTTTCCTTTCTATATGCTTATTATACAAATTTGCCTTGTCTTTGGTACTGTCCTGTTTTTTCCATTGAAGTTTCTACTTGTAAAATTGTGTCAATCATTTTAAACATAGGTATTTTACAGTTTGCTTAAGACTGCTCAACACTGTGCAACACTTGAGCTTCTATTTATTTATCTTGTTTCTTGTGCTATTGATTCTCTTTTTTGTTGCTTATTTTCTCCTATGGTCTGTCAGCTTTTACTGTGAGTTTCTTTTTCCTCCTTCTTACTCTACAGAAGTTTGATATGCCCCAAATTGTGAGAGTGTTCTATAGGGCAGTTTTTGCTTGCTTCTCCCAGAAACTTAAGGATTTTAATCATCCTGGACTAAAATTCATATTAGTTTTTGTGCAGCTTTTGGCTCCATATCATGTGATAGTGTAAATCTGGAGTTTCTATTTCTCATGGGTACCTTTTTAATTCTTTTTCTCCCAAGTTCTAGGGAAATGTTATTCTGTGCATTGTTTTCTGGGCTGGTGAACGGTTATTCTTATCTTCCTTTAGAGACAGGGTGATGCTTTATCTAGTATTTCCATGCATCTGTAGAAAGAGCGCTCCCATCTAGGTCAGCCTAGACCTCCTGAGTATCCCAAGTTCCTTTGATTATCCTTTCTCAATAGTATTCTGGCCTCTAGCCCCTTTATAAATACAGGAAGGCTTGGTTTTGTAGATTAAAGATCTGAAGTTTTTATAATCCGTGGTAAGCGTTACTTCTTTGTATGGTACACAGCATGGGGCTCATGTTCAGGCCTGGCCACTCACCAGCTTCCTGACCTTGGGCAAGTTAATTAAACCTCACAGAGCACAGTTCAGTCATCAGCAATTTGGGAGTGACACTGATAACATCACATGAGGAGTAAAGGATGTAGGTGTATGAAAAGCTCCTCGTCAATTATTTGTTATTCTCCTATTCTGTTCTTCAAGCCCAAACTCTACCTTTCGTCTGCTTTTTTTGGTTTTTAACGCCTCCTGAGGAAGGTCTTGAACTTAATAGTACTTTAAACATTTTACATCCTGGGTACTGAGAAAGGTAGTCTGTATCTCTTCCTCCTATTATACATGCTGTACTTTTGAAGCCAAACTCTTCCTCAGAAAGTAGGACTCTTAAAAAGCCATGTTTTTAGCTTACCTTTGGCTTTGGATTCCCAGTCACTCTGCATGTGAAAGTTATAGGCATTCCCTCAAAGATCTTGTAATGTTTCAGCTTCATCTCAAAGAACGGTGCCACTCCATTTTCCACAGGTGTGTCCCCATATTGGACGTCATCACCTGATTCATCCACAGGGGACCTTTCTAGCCTGTACTCGATTTCACTGATGAGTCTCTGTTCACAGCTGGAGACTTTATATTCCTACATCGGGTAAAAATAAAGGTCACATTCGCAACATCAGTGTCTTGTGGTACAGTGTGTCTCATGAGTCTTACCCTCCCCTCCAATAAGGCACTCAAAAGACAGTGATATTTTTACCATGGAGCTTAAAAACAAGTCTGAGCCCAACTCAGTTCCATATAAAACAAAAAACATCTGGAAGTAAGTATATATGATATTTCAAATTGTCTTCAAGTCTTATCATTCTCCTCCCCCAAAAAACTATGAAGATGATTTCTTTCTCTCTTCTCTTGGGGGGTGTGGGGAAAGAAAGAAAAAGGCAACAGCTTTATATTCTTAAACTGTTCATAAGAATAAAACCTGATGGAACACTGATTTCTTTCTGTAGAGTAGAAGCTGATGCAGGGAGGTGCAGCTCTTCAGAAGGATAACAGTACATGTGGCAAGCAGCTGCATTATCACATAGCATTTTATCAAATGAATGATGGGAAAATGACATTTCTTTTCACTCATAACAATCCTCAGCCGCATAGCCTCTGAACTCCTCCTTCTGTGTGCAGCTATTAGGAACTATTCTCCACCAAAGTTACAAAGAACAATGGGATTGGCAGTCCAGTCAAAATTGTAATTAAAAAGACAAAAACAAAGTACCCATCAACATCTTATGGTGATTAAGGTGGATCCTACAGTTCTCTTGCTTACAAAGTACACTGAACACAAGGCAGCCCATTAGAAAATACTCTCTATTTAATTATAATTAAAAGATGTTTCAACGAGGTTTTCCTTAAAGAAGTTACTCAGCCTTTAAAAAACAGTTTGTTGTCTTGAGGGAAGAAATACAACAGTATGAACAAAACTGCAAATGAGTTGTTTTGTTTTAATTACTATCAAATGAGTCAGTTTAAGAACGAGCATGTTTATCCCTAGAAAGGTGTAACAAATGAGAAGCAATTTACAGTTCAGAGTATCCACTAGTGACAGAATCAAACTCAAGTTCATAAATGTATGACCAAAAAAAAAAAAACAAACAAAACCCACACTTCAGTAATTCTGTTCATCTGATCTTAAGTAAAAATAGACACTGGTCATGGTATTTATAATTAATATGTGGCAGGACAGATAGATACACAGACAAACAAAGAAGAACAATAGAAAACAGATACAGTGAAAGACCAGAAGAAGAAGAAAGGTGAAAAGCTTATTAACCTTTTGACCATCCAGAGGACTCCCTACAGAAGCATGAGGAGACCCAATTTCCTGTAATGGTAGAAAAAAAGAAGTGAAGACTAATAACAGAATTAAGAACCTAGCAACATATCTAGTTTTAAGTGAAATTTTTGTAGTAGCAATATTTAACACAGAAAAATCTTCAGATATTAACGGCAGATCCATTTTTCAACACTTAAAAGAGTTTACTTGATCATTTAAACATGTCTTAAAAGGTTTTCTTTAATCTTGAGACTACATTTGGAAACTCCAAGCAGAAGCAGTGCAGATTATAAACCAGCTTACATCAAATCCATGCAGTGACTTTTTTGGGGGGAAACAAAAATATCATTTTAGGTTTTCTGCTGATTTAGTGACTTATAACTGTGTGTGTGAAGGAAAATAAAGACATAGTTTTTCTATAGATAGTTTGCTTTGGCTAGATGTTAAGATTATAATTGGAAAATTCACTGGCTACTTCAAACAATTTCAGTGAAAATACGTCTCTCCACACAAAAGAATTTTGCATTAAAGCACAGGACAGGAAAAACAGAAAGATACTCGAAAGGAGAATAAGCTGATCAACAGGAAGATATAAAGAGCAGTTCTCACTGACTGCAACAACTCCAGCAGTCACTTAACACACCTTTTGGTACATGTATGTGCTCAATAAATATTAGCTATGAGGCTGATTGATGATGCTAATACTCCTTTTATTTGACTTGCCCTCTGCTTCCCACAGAATTGGTCCCAAGAATAGTGCCCGTAAAGAGTATGAGGAGAGGGGACAGAAAACTTATTATTTTTTTAAAAAGTCCAGAGGAACACAGTACCTGATTAGCTGTTTCCTCCTCTGGCTCCTGAATATTAAAAACAGTTGCACTGTCGGCACCTAGTAATCGACGAGCCATTCTTTCTTCATATGTTAACCTCTAAACAAAGTAAGTCACAAAAAATACAAAGTTAGAAAAGTAACAATTATATACTGCCCCATGAAAAAGAATTGTATTTGTTCACTTTTTTAAACATTAAAAAAGTGTTTTTAAATGTTTGTTTATTTTTGAGAGACAGAAAGAGACAAAATCTGAAGCAGGCTTCAGAGTTGTTAGCATTGAGCCTAATGCAGGGCTCAAACTTAAGAACCATGAGATTATAACCTGAGCCAAAGTTGGAGGCTCAACCTACTGAGCCACTCATGTACCCCTAAACAGTTTTTTTTTTTTAAGTTTATTTATTTATTTTGAGAGAGAGAGAGAGAGACCGCGCGCAAATGTGAGCAAGGGAGGGGCGGGGCGGGAGAGACAGAATCCCAAGTAGGTTCCACACTGTCAGTAGTGCAGAGCCTGACAAGGGGCATGAACCCACAAACCATGAGATCATGACCTGAGCTGAAATCAAGAATCAGAGTTTAAGTGACTAAGCCACCCAGGCACCCTGAAAAAGGATTCTAAAAAATGAGTTTTGATATTTTCTGTAACTATTTTCCCTCAACCTTCAGATAGCTATATTTAAAAGGAGTCTCTTTCTTTCCCTTCCTTCAGTTGTTCAGTCTGTCACTTCTTCTGGTCTTTGTGGCTTAAAATAGTGTTGGGAGATGGGGTAACCAATCCTGAGCGACCAAATGATACAGCACAAATTTAAGGTGAATATAATAAGCAAAGAAGGCAGAAACTACTTAGGAAACATGTGTCATATACTAATCCTTAATGATAAATATATAGAAAAAAAGATATTCAAATAGCAAAATATTTTTTAAAGGAAATGTTATTTTCATAACCATCCACAAACTTCAAAAGAGCCTAGTCAGCTCCAAGCGTCTGATAAAGGACATTTTAGACCAGCTGGCAGTGATGATCCTCTGTTTTGGGGTTCTCATCTCTACCTTCCCAGGCTGTCTGTGCATGTAGGCAAATATAACAGTCCACAAGGAATGACTGCCCACAGCTGAATTAGCAAAAGGACTGTGAGAGATACTTGCCAAAGCTAATCTCCACAATTCAAGATTCTACTCAGACGCAGATCGCTTGCCCATCAGGCAGAGAAAGTGGTAATGTTTTTGCATCTAGCAGCCAGTACTCTGGATCCAGCCAAAACATATTCACTGGGCCATTCTTATGCCAACGTTTTTGTTCTGTCTAGTGGGCTGTTTCCTGCTTTTGAGTGTTGGCCCTAAAATGCCTTAGAATTAACAGGTCTAGGAGGAACTTTCAGAGACCCTCTGTCCCATGAAGGGCATTTTACAAACAAGTGTTTGATTCAAAATAGAGAATAATTAGTAAGACAGAATCTTAAAAAAAAGAATACACAAAGTTATTTCAGTAAGCTTCCAAACTTCTGAACACTGATGCAAATTCTATTGGAAACTCTATAATCAGGAAAATATGTTGAATAAATTTACAGTTTCCAGTAATTGCTGGTTCTAGTCCCAGCTGAAACCGGGAAGTGAAACAAGTCCGTGCCAAATGACAAATAATCCTGAAGTTCAATTATTTCACTGACTAAAGAAGAGGCAGAAGACAAGAAGAGGTAGAGGCAGGTGTTTAGTGCATGGGCTGTCTCAGTCCACTATATTATTATTTAAATTAATTTTCTCACATCTGTTAAAGAATCATTGAATTCAGTTTTCAAAGAGAGTTTTTTTTTAAATACCTGCTCTCTTAAATGCCTTCCTACTGTTTTCATGGAGAACTGTAGCCACATCAAAGGTAGGACTGGAATATTTTCCACGCTGTTCCTTATAAGCAGATACATCAACTATTGATACCTAGTTCTTTACCAGAATGCACTTGCTACCATTAAAAGCCAGAATTACTTGAGTTTTGTTTCTAAACCACTAGGCTATCTAGCTAGCCAAGCCCTGTCTACAGAGGCCAAAAATAAGTAACAGAGTAATATGCAACACTAGAAAAAAGTTATCCTTTTAAACTCCCAAATGTGGAAATCGATGGAACTTGTACACAGTATGATATCACATCTTATAGAAAGAAGTCTTAAGACTTTTTAACCAAGAGAATCTTAGTCCATGAGGAATATTTAAACAAAGGTCCATAGAACTCAAAAAACTGGAGAAACGCCTTTACCTGGTTTCAGTAAGTTCCCATAAGTATGTTTTAATCTTTCAAAGGCTTTAGTTGACAGAGGAGAGGAAGCTTTCTGTGTGTGTGTATTTACACGTGCAATTACTTATTTCAGGGAGAAAATATTTTCCCTTTGTGAAAATCTTCTATTAATGAAATAAACGACTAACACTAGATCTCATTAAAATTTTAATCTTTCTGAACTCAGATTAGGATGCCCTAATAACTAAAAGCAGCATTTGGCACCCTTCTTCTATCCTCTACCTTTCTAATCAAATATGGTCTATTCTCACATTTTTATTTATCAATGTGTGATAATTAAAGTTCCTGGAAAACATGTTTAACATAGACAGCTTTCTACCCTGAAAAAGGTATCTGAGAGGGAGATTTTATACAAAGAGGCCCTTTTCTTCTACTTAAGAGCTGGGCAAATTTTTTCAATGGCAATTCTAAAATAAAGGTACAAACGGCTCCTTTCCTTCACCTGGGAAATCTTACTTGCGAGACTGTTCTTCCTGTCCCCTTAAAAATACTTGGATGTGGTAAGAGGAGGGTCAGTATAAAACAAAAAAACAACTGAAGAGGCAGCATTTAAGTCCAATGGAGGAAACATCATATGTGTGTGTGTGTGTGTATGTATAATAACATATATACATATATAATTTTTTTTAACGCTTATTTTTTTTTTGAGAGAGAGACAGAGCTTGAGGTGAGCAGGGGAGGGGCAGAGAAAGAGGGAGTCACAGAATCCGAAGCAGGCTCCAGGCTATGAGCTATCAGCACAGAGCCCAACACAGGGCTCGAACTCATGAATTTTGTGATCATAATCTGAGCTGAAGTTGAACGTTCAACTGACTGAGCCACTTAGTCAATTGTTTTTTTTTTTTTTTTTTAACCAAATCTACTGTACAGATACTATACTAAATCTACTCTACAATTCTGCACTCTTAAAATGTAATTCTTCTTTTTTTTCCTTTAATTTAGTTGCCTGGCTTTGACAAACTAGAACAAAATTGTGGAACAAACGTTACTCCTTCAGATTACCAAATCATTACCTACTTATGGTCTAGTAGGACAGTACTGGACTTCAGGGGTTGTTTCCTTGGTAAAAATACTTTTTTCTGTAGAAGCAGAACATGTCTTAGAGTCCAGATTCTCCTTTTGGTAGATACAGATCACTCCAGAGCACACTTTCCCCCTCCTACCCAGCCCAGATCCATTCCTTTTTCCTTGTAATGTTGCAATTCCTCCTTTGTTTTACTCCCCACCTTAAAATCAGCCCTTCTTCTTTATCTCCAACTTGCTATTTTCACTCCCAGAATGTTTTTCATGAATAGGAGGAAACAGTGAAGGCTGAGTAGAGGGAAGCCTTTCTACTTTCCTCCCTTTCCCCAGATTCAGACCATAATGCTAAGAAGAACACTGAGGTTTACGGGTAATGAAATCATTTTATGGATAGATTGTAAGAACCTAAGTGAGTGAAGAGCTCTCTGATGTGGGTAGCTAATATTCCAAGTTCAAGCCCCAAATCCATCTCTCCGTACCGGCTGGCCGTTGTTCAGGAGGTCCTCCTTGAAGCGAAGTTTTCGTTCCAGGTCTTGAATGACAGCATCCTTTGTGCCTTGAATCTCCTCATCAGAAGCTATTCGAGCAGTTCTATTGACCTTCTTTGGAAATCCCCTGTTAAGATAAAAGCACAAGGCAATATAGTCAGTTCTCAGGCATTCAAGCTCAACAAGACAGTACAACGTGTCAATGTATCCCACTCTTTTCTAATGTTACATCTATTCCAACTAATTATGGAAAGAACCATGAAAGCTGCTTGCAGTGTTCAGGTAACACTAATTGGAACCGGCTTTCAGAGAAACTGGAAATGCCTTAGGGAATGTGTCTCAGTGGTCAGATACATGCCAAGGATAGGGCAAGCCTGTGTTTTGGTCCCAGGGAGGCAGCAATGTAAAGTGAAAAGACAATGATTTGTAATCAGAGGTTTAAAATCTGGCCTTGCCTTGTATTAGGTTTGTAACTTTGGATAGTTTAACAGTTCTTATAAACAAACATAAAAATATATACCATATATGGCTACTGAGAAGATTTCAAAGAGAACATATTTCTTTCATACTTTCAGAAGTTCAGTCCTTCTAATCCTTTGTAATCAATGTATTCAACAACAGTGCCCAGCTCATTCTAAGCAAATATTGTTACCTTCCCTTCTATCCTAATTTGATTAGAGGAGGCCAAATGTTATAAAAGGTCTGTTTTATACTAACGGGCCCTGGACGGTCTGCCGGTCCTACTCTGCCTGGTACACCCCAAGACTCCTAAGCCTCCCGGAGAGCCTAGGGCTGTTAGATAGGTGATACCTCAGAGCTTTTCTTTCTAAGGGCAGCAACAACATGTGGGTCAGGTGAGCCAAGGGTCACCGGTGCTGGATGCTTGATGGCTGGGGTATCACTTTTGTTGGTGCCTTAAGTAATTTGCTCCCCACTTCTCTTCCTTTGCCCTCACAGAGCTGTGGGTAAAGATGCAAGAGAAAGAGGGGCACCCGGATGACTCCGTTGGTTAAGCATCCGACTTCAGCTCAGGTCATGATCTTGCAGCTCATGAGTTCCAGCCCTGAGTCAGACTCTACTGACAGCTCAGAACACGGAGCCTGTTTCAGATTCTCTCTCTGCCTCTGTTGCCCCTCCCCTGCTTGCTGTCTGTCTCTGTCTCTCTCAAATATATAAAATAAGATGCAAGAGAAAGAGAATACTATACGACAGTGAAAACGAATGACCTGTAGTTACCCATATCACCAAAGCTGAATTCTAAAAACATAAAGTTAAAAAAAAAAGCCAGGTTGAAGAATACATAAAATATGCTTCCAATTATAAAAAGGCAAAAGCTAAGCAGTCTTCTGTCAAGGCAGGGGTTCTTAAAGGGTGGTCCCTGGCCAGCGGCCTCTGTGTCACCTGAGAAACTATTAGAAATGCAGGCTTTTGGACTCACTCCACACCTACGGAGTTAGAAACTCTGGGGTTAGGGTCCAGCAATCTGTGTTTTTACAAGCCCTCTAGGTGATTCTGATTCATAAAAAAGTTTGAGAAATAAACTTAGGGAAATATACATATATAAACTATTAAGACAAGTAAGACAAGGATTAACTCTGAAATTCAGGGTAGTGTTCTCTCTTAGGGATAGTTGTGGATTCGACTGGGGAAGGGCACGTAGGGAGCCTTCAAAGACACTAGAAACAGGTATGACTTATTATTATTATCCTTTTAGACTATATATATACACTGTATATGCTTCCTTATTTATGTTTTATGATAAGACATTTCTAAGTTAAAAAAAAAAAAAGGTTACTGCAAATGAATCAAGGCATCCTGTGCCTGATACCACTTTACTGATATGGTAGAAAGCACTAGTAAGGTTGAGGATGTAATTTAACATTGAAGTTCACCAAACCCTCCGCTTCTCACCATTTCATTCCGAAATGCTGGGAACAAGCCAAGCACTAAATATGCAAGAGAAAACATGAGCATCCTGTAACAGCTGTGTACTCAGCCCCCATCGGTAATACCTGGAACCCTGAGGCCTAGGCTCCTCCTGTCTCTTCCCCTTTGTTTTCTTGCTGAACTTCCCCTGAGTTTGCTGGGTGTTCACTCTTCAATGTGCTTAGAGAAGGTGACCACCTCCCCACACTCAGGGGTGACTGACCTGAGTTAATATGAGTGGTCTCAATCTCCTAGACTGTGATAGTGTAGCCAGAGACATGTGATGGAGCCCTGGCCAGTGAGGCTGGGGCAATGAGAGTGGGAGAGGGGAGGTGCTCTGGCTAAAAACTTCTCATCGCTGAAAAGAAACACACAGGAAGAAATGCCCAAAACTGTAGCAGCCATGCTGACCATGAGGGGCTAATGATGACAGCTTGCAAGGGGACCCTGGAGCCCTTAACCTGGTGGAACCGCCTGACCCCATACAGTAATAAACCATGTGCATTTAATCTACTGGTAGTTGAGTCTTCTGATACCTATAACAGAAAACATCCTGACAGCTTTTCTAGGTCCTTTCTTTCTAGTCATTTGCCCCAAAGTTCAAATGGGAGGGTGTTAAACATTGGCATTAAAGAAAAATTAAAGAGAATATTGTGATATCCTGTGTTTGAATGTCAAAAAACGAGGTCAAACTTTGTTGTATCCTCCTCACTGGGAATTGATCTGAATTTTAAGGGGCTGGGCAGTGAAGCTGTGATATATTAACAACAAAAGCCATAGGAATTGTGGTTTTTAGGACCCTATAATCAGTTAACAAAAATGTGCATACTGGGCCAGCTTCCCTGAGCTGGAGCCTTTCTCCCTTCCTTTTCTCAGGACAGTGTTATCGACCTTCAGGCTTCAGTTTAATGTCTCCTTGGAAAGGAGGACCCTGACCAAGTCTACCCATGTTATATTGTACTATGTTTCTTCATAGCACCTATCAGACTTTATTAATGTATGTTCGTTAATTGTCCCTCTCTCACCATGCCTCTTTTGTTCATGACAATACCCACGAAACAGCACACCCTCCCATAACATTCATGGAATGAGTGAATGGTGCACTATCTATCTTCACTTCTGACCTCTCCCTTCCCTCCTCAGGCAAGGAAAATTATGCCAAAGCCATCTATATACTCAAACCACATGTAAAAAGTCAGGCTCAGAACAAATACAAATTACACAGTTTTGGGGGGGAAAAAGTTCTGCACCGCTTTTGGGTAAAGCCTTACATCTGAAAACTGGAAGAGGGAGGTTTTGAAGTCACCTGAAAGGCAACATTAAAGCCAGCTCTGTGTTACATCACTTATTATTGGGAACACATAGGTTCCCATTATTATTTTAAACTTGACAACATAAACGAGTTGCACAACTAGGTGATGATGAACAGCTTCTGATGACAGAAGCTTCACTGTGTTTCTGCAGGCAGAATACACTGATAGCCGTGTTCTCTGCACAAATAAGAAAGAAAGGGGCAAAGGGTGGCTATCAAGGGCAGAACAGATCACCTAAACAATAGAAACAGGGAACTGTTTTTAAAAAAGACAGCCCCAAGTCCACTTGAACAAGTAAACACCTGTCTATTCTCAACAGAAAAAGTCCTGTTGCCTAAAAAGCATTTCTCAGTATACTTGACTCTTTAAGGGACCTGAGAACACCTGCCCTGGGACGTCTCCTAGAGAAGCCATTCACCTTGGTTTGGATCCCTGCAACCAAGTATTTATTGTTTCAAAGAGTACAATTAAAACTACTCTTTGACCCAAATAAAAACCCTGATCATTTTATATTTCTCTTAACAAGGTGATTCTCTAAATGTATCAAGATCACAAGCATTAGAAGAACATTTGCTTCATCTCCATCTCCCGCTATTTTAAAGACATTTTCTTTGACTCACAGAATTTAAGGTGCACGTATTTTCTTGGTTCTGAACGATTAACACTGAACTCAAACCAATCAATGGAAAGATTTTTAAACGTCTAACAATCACTGCACAAATATTTACTGAGTGTAGAGCAAGGCACAATGCTAGGCAAACATATCAATACGAATTCTGTTAAGCCTGAAACTCAATAGTTGGTTTGTAAGGTAAGCGGCTGTGTCATCTGATGACATCTTGGAATTCTAGGCAGTAGAAATTCTATACATTAAAGTGAAAAACAATAATAAAAGCTTCATCACTGTAGTCCCAACACTATTCTATGTGACAAAGAGAAGACAGCCAAATCCTAACGGGTGGCCTTTGATCTCAAGGGGCTGATAATCAAGTTGGAGAATAAATTAAGGAACAAACTATTATGTCATAGTAATTCTAGGTGCAATGGGAGTAAAAAAGGTAGAAAAGAGCACTGGCTAGAATGCAGAAGACTCTGTGAAAGAGGCAGTATCCAGGATCTTGAAAAATGATGCGGATGCAGACAGAGGGAGAGGAGGAGAGGAAGGAATTCTGAATCAGCATGAATAAAGGTGTAGAAGGGAGAATCTCTTATTTTTTTACCCCCTAAAACACTGTGGCTTGAACTAGTTACTTATTTCTATGTGCCTCTGTTTCCTCCTCAGTCAAGTGTAAAATGTGGGTATTATTAGCATGTACCTCTAGGGTTATTAGGAAAATGACACGAGCTAATACATACTGAGTACTTGGATCATGCCTGGCATCCTGAGAGGGGCTCTGGGGAGGCCAACACAGTATGCAAGTGAGTCCCAGAGACGAAACTGGCCAGGGGAACAGAATGAAAGACAGAAAGGAGTTTAAAAAGATGCCAAGAACGCTTGACTGGATTCCAAAAAGGTGCAAATAACCTTTACTGATTGGCTTTTCAGTGTTCAGCTGTGTTCTAAGTGCCAGCAATACCATACTGAACACCATGTTTGTTTTCCTGTAAAACTAAGGGACTGTACTCAGAAAAATTATATTCTATGGTGGGGATGGCAGCGAGAGAAAGGAAATAGAGGAGGGAAAGGAAGGGCATAGCAGGAGGTGGTAAGTGTCACAAAGGGAAGGGAGTGTGAGTGGATGACTGTCTTACACAGTGTGGTCAGTCACAGATCCGACGAGGTGACAGAGCCATTGAGGCCCAAGTGACAGTGTGCTTTCCCTACAGGGAAAGCAAGGCGGTGCAAAGCTCTCACGGCCTGAATGAGCCTGGCAGGGTCAACAAGGGA